GGTGACTGGGATTTATTTCCAGGCTTCTGAGGAATCTCCAAACAGGTTTCTACAGTGGCTGCACTAGTTTACACTCCTGTCTGTCACATAGAAGGGTTCCTTTTCCCCACAGCCTTCCAGCAATTGTTGTTTTTGAATTCTGGATGATGGCCATCCTGGCCAGAGTAAGGTGGGATCTCAGAGTGGTTTTCTCTTGTGTGTGTTTGTTTTGAGGCAGGGTCTTGCTGTGTAGTCCAGGCTGGCCTTGAACTCACTGTGTAGCCCAGGCTGGCCTCAAACTCAGTAATCCTCCTGCCTCAGCCTTCCTAGTTCTGGGATGACAGGCATGTATTACCATAGGCTAAGAAAGTGTTACTTGAGAAAAGTTTTAATGAAGGTTTTCTTATTAACAGTATAAATTACAGTATTTAAAATTTTTATAAAAATGTAACCATTAGGTTTTTGTGGGTTTTAAGCATTCACTTAACAAGTATTTGATGTGGGCTTCCTGTGAACTGAGTTCTGGGCTCCAGAGCCAAGTATCCAATGGAAAGTAAAACATAAAGGAGCTACTAACCCTCATTACATCCCAACTCTGAGTAGTAGGAAGTTAAGAAATTTACCAGTGTGCTGGCCCAGTAATAAGCAGTTTCTCAGGAAAAAAAAAAAAAGTAAGGGAAGACAAACAAAGCCTTGACAGAAAGGAACAACAATAACAACAAAAAGGTGGCGGGGGATGCTGGACATCGAAGGGCACACCTGTAATCCCAGCACTTTGGAGGCTGAGGCAGGAGGATTGTAGTAAGTTTGAGGCCAGGCTGAACTACACAACATATGTCTTGTCTCAAACAACATAAAAGAACAAAATAAAATTAACAAGGATCTAAAGGCTAGGGTTAAAACAATCAAAAAGTAACCAATTTCTCAAAAGGACCCGAGTTTGATCCCCGGCACTGAAAAAAAAAAAAGGAACCAATTTCTAAGTTTTGGGTTGGTTGTTTTTTGTACTGGGGGTTGAGCCCAGGTCCTTCATGCTGAGTTATATCCCCACCCCTTTTAAAAAAAATTTTGAGATAAATTCTTGCTAAATAGCCCAGATTAGGCATAAAGGCTCAAATTTGCCATTGTCCTCCATCAGCCTCCCAGACTGCTGGTATTACAGGCATTTACCACCTAGTCTGCCAGTCTGGGGGTTTTTCTTTTGCTTTTTTTCATCTACATTAAGATCAACCTTGTTAATTAACTACAACTCACAGAAGTGTTCAGCAGTCCTCCACTCCCAGAAATGGTGCGGAGTGAACAGTCTTTGAATGAGGATCGAATGTTTACTAGCACCTCCAAAGCATCCTTCATGTTCCTTCTCGGTCCCTTGCTACGTCTCAGAATAACCACTCTCCTGCTCCCTAACATTAAGGATTAATCTCATTTGTATTACAATTTATTATACAAAGAATTCTTAGAGTATTTCCCTCCCCTCTCTCTTTGACTCAGCACTGTAATTATGTGATTATTGCACCTTGTGTTTAATTGTAAATCATTCTCATTGCTAAGTAATGTTCTATTATTGTGAATAATTAAAATGTATTAGGCCATTCTCTTGGTGATGACATTTTGGTTATTTCTAGTTGGAGACAGCTGTGAATCATGCTGCTGACTTTGGGAAATGCAAAAATGCATTTCTAGTTAGTATGGATCTTGAAGCAGAATTTCTGGATTGTAGATGTATGCATATTTTCAGCTTTTGATACTAACATTTTTCCAAAGTAATTACCTTCTTAAATTTAATTTTACTTTTTTGGTTTTTTTGAGACAAAGTGTCACTGTGTAGTTCAGGCTGGCCTCAAACTCAGGGTGATCCTCCTGCTTCAGCCACCTGAGGGCGGGATAACAGGCATGTACCACCATGTCCACCTTAAATATTATAAATACACAATATATGAAGAGTTCCAGTTTTGTACTTCATATTTTGTACCTGTATTATTTTAGCAGTTCTACTGGGTATGTAGTGCCTCTTCTTCAACCTCTTTTCTTTCCCTTTTTGTTTTGGTGTTTTTGAGACAAGGTCTCACTGTAGCTCAGGCTGGCCTTCAACCCACCCCATTGTGTAGCCCAGGCTGGCTTCAAACTCAAACTCATAGTGATCCACCAGCCTCAGCCTCCCCAGTGCTAGGATTACAGGAATGTGCCACCACATTTAGCTTCTCAATCTCTTCTGGCTGTTATTTTTGTTTTAAATAAGAAACACATAACATAAAAATTGCTACCTTATTCTTTTTTTTTTTTTCTTCCTTGTGGTACTGGTGGTTGAACTAAAGTCTTCGGTGTGCTAGGCAAGCACTCTGCCATTAAGCTCATCCCAGCCCATCCCAGGCATGTACCACCAAGCCCTCTCCATGGTGATCACTTTTAAGGGCAGGGGTCAGTGGTGTGAAACAGCCCCAGAACTTTTTTATCTTACAATCTCAATTGTATCCCCATTACATAACAATTCTGCTTTCCCCATTCCCCCTGGTAACCACCAAGGTACTTTCTTTTTTGGTACGGGGGATCAAACTCGGGACCTTGGGCTGACAAGGCAGGCGTGGTGCCACTGAGCTAAATCTCTGGCCCTTTTTATTTCTTTTATTTATTTTGGGGTTTTTGTGTGTTTGCTTTTTGAGACAAGGTCTCACTATGCAGGTCAGGCTCACCTGGATCTCACTATGTAGCCCTCCTGCTTCAACCTCATGAGTTCTGGGATTACAGATGTGTGCCATCACACCAGCTTCTGTGCATTTTTTTTTTTTTTTTGTACTGAGGATTGAACTCAGGACCTTGCGCTTTCGAGGTAGGCCTGGAACCACTGAGCTAAATCCCTGGCCCAAACTTTTTTGGGGGGATGGTAACCAGAGATTGAACTCAGGACCTTGTGCTTGCAAGGCAGGCACTGGAACCACTGAGCTAAATCCCCAGCCCCACCAGGGTACTTTCTGTTCCTATAAATTTGATAGTTTCAGTAACCTTAGATGAGTACATTCATGGAGTCTTTGTCCTTTTGTGCCTGGCTTAATGTCCTGGAGAGTCATCCATGCTGTGCGTGTGGCAGGATTAAAGATAAGTCATATCTCATAGTGTGTATGGACCATGTTTTGTCTTCTTTTTTTTTTTTCTTTTTTCTTTTTTTTTTTTTTTTGGTACCTGGGATCGAACTCGGGAGCTTGTGCTTGTGAGGCAGGCACCAGAACCACTGAGCTAAATCCCCAGCCCTGTCTGCTCATTTTTGGTGGCCACTTGAGTTGCTGCTCTATACTCAGGTATGCGAAGACCCCTTTGAGCGCTTCCTCTTGATTCTGAATATATACCAAGAGGTAGGATTGTTCGATCGTATTTCAGCTCTAATTATAAAGGTTTTCAGAAAATGGGTTTGTTTGTTTTGTTTTGTGATAGGGGAGATAGAACCCAGGGTCTTTACACTGAGCTACATCCCGGCTCTTTTTAAAATTTATTTATATTTTTTGAGAGGGTCTCACAAACCATTTCGATCTGGCTTTGAACTCATTATGTAGCCCAGGCTGACCTCAAATTTACAGCGATCCTTCTGCCTCAGCCTCCTGAGCACTGGGATTACAAGCATGCACTATCAGATCCACAAGGTCTTGCAAAATCACTAAATTTCTCAGGCTGAGTTTGAACTTGTAACCCTCCTGCTCTGCCTCCTAGAGATGTGGGATTACAGGTTTGTGCCACCATGCCTGGCTTGGAGGGATTTTCAAACATAGTTGGGTGATTTTATATACTGGCATTCCTATAGATTAATAAACAGCAGAAGCAATAAGCAGTATTTTAAATCCTGATGCCCTTTTATCACTCCAAGGCCATGAGTCAGTTTTAGCTAAAAGAATAAATATTTAAGTTCAAATTTGTCCCCTTTTTTGTACTTCTAATCAAATTTAGGGCCTCGTGATTGCCAGGCAGGTGCTGTGCCACTGAGCCACGTTCCCAGCCCAAGTTTGTCATTTTTTGCATTCATCAGGTCAGCTGCACCACCTTAATTTTTGATGAAAGTTGATCTAACACATAGTTTTGGTAGCAAGAAGAAATCACAGAAACTACAGGGTCATTGCTTCATATATTATTCTATATAGCAAAAACAATTCACTGAGGTGAAGATCTATAACTTCCTCGTATGGCTAAATTTCAGTGTTCAGGTTTATTCATTTATTTATTTTTAGCAGAGCATGGAGGCTTAAGCCTGTAATCCCGGTATGAGAGGCTGAGCCAGAAGGATCACAACTTCAAGTACCATGTGTGCAGTTTGGTAAAACCCTGTCTCAAAATGAAAACTAAAAACCAGGAGCGGTGGTACACATCTATAATCCCAGCACATGGAGGCTGAGGCAGAAGGATCTCAGAGTCCAAGGCCAGCCTGTGATTAATTAATTAAAGTGCTGGGGATAAAACTCAGAATTCTTGGATGAATCCCCACTACTGCCTGTATAGATAGATGGATAGAATAGTAATGTGATGTATTGTGATATGAGGGATGAAACCCAGGGCTCACTGAGCTACAGCCTCAAACACAATCCTCCTGCTTCAGCCTCCCTGGTGCTGAAGTTCCAAACACTCTCCACCATACCCAGCCTTAATCTTAGTTTTAATGTTGGGAGTTTTGGGTTCTTTTCACTCAGCTGTGTTCTATTGTTCACATTTGTGGAAGAACAGAAGAATTATATTTTTCCCAGTACTGTTTTCTCTTTTGCAAACCATAACAATAGTGAACCAAAACAGACTTCTTTGCAAGTACAGATTTCTCTTCTCCCTGCCTTTTGTTCATCACGTGAACTGAGACGCTTTCAGTGAGGAGGGAAGTATGAGACAGTGCACCGTCCCCTGGGCTTTAAAGTGGCTTCTGCCCCTGGCGATATAAGATAGATTTTTTTAAAAAACTGAAATAGAACCGTATGGAGTTTTAGAAGGAGTGCCCATTGCCTTCACACTTAGGATGCTCATTTTCCATAGATAAATACATTCTGCTTTTGCAGGTAATCAGAAGAAGCAGTGAGGAAGAGAAGGTTCTTTGTCTGGTCCGGCAGCGCCCAGGCCACCAGTGCGAGACCGCTGTGATAGTGGTGCTCATCATGTTGTGGGATGGCATCCCACTGCCGATGGCGGACAGACTGTACACGGAGCTCACTGAGAACCTAAAGTCATACAGTGGTCACCCGACAGACCGAAGATGTACCCTCAATGAAAAGTAATCCAATCTGTTTTGTACCGCTTTGAAATTCAGATCTCTAGTATGTCATGGTAAATTGTTACTTAATTACCAACTCAGTATATTACATGGGGTCATGGGATTTTAGGTGCTGAGGAGCTAAAAGCAGTTAGCATTTTCATTGAATTATTGAACCCAGACTTGGTGGTATGCAGCTCTAATTCCATCACTTGGGAGCCTGAGGCAGGAGGACCCTGAGGTGGAGTTCTACCTGGGAAACAGCAAATTCCAAACGGCCTGGGGATAAATAAAGACCCATATCAGAGCCCTGGGTTCAACTCCCAGTACTGCAAAAAGCAGGAATGTTGAGTTAATCATTTCACTGAGTTAGGGCCACAATTTTGAGGTGGTGCTCTTCCTCCTGCTTCAAGTGCCCCCCCCCCCACCCCTGTGCTGAAAGACACCACCAGTCCCTAGGGGATTCTTTACTGTTTCTGTCTCTGGTACCTGAGCATACATGCACACACAGTGGGAAGGAAAGCGATTTTAACAGAAAGTTCCTTCTAAAGGGCTGTCCGCACATGGATTTTCTCTGTTCATAGTAAGAGATTAGTTGTTTTCCTATGTTCTTGCAATGAATGTGTTGTCAGATTTAAGTTTTGGGCCATTTAATAGGGAAAGGGCATCAGTGTGAGTGTGATTGCGTTTTAATTATGGTGAGTCTTTTTCCCCCTAGTTAAAAGCCACTGGCCAGTCCTTTATTATTTTTTTCCTTTGAGAAGAGGTCGAGCAAGGGTCGGCATCTGTTCCTGGCTGACTAGAAGAGCACAGCGTCCTCCAGTGTAGTCTCCAGTGCTGGGAATGCAGACTTGGGTCTCCATGCCACACCTGCCCTTTCTTATCTTCCTTGTCAGTCATCTGTTAATTATTCTAGGTCAATTTTCTAAAGGGTCAATGTTCAATTTGTCTCCATTTTTATATATTGGGGCTAATAAAACTTTGTCTGGATTGTCATTTGCAAATACTTTTCCCAGCTTGTCTTTATCCTTTTTGCTATGCCATCTTTTACAAAAGTTTCTTTAGTAGGGCCGGGTATTTACCTCAGTGGTTTCGCCGTCTGCTGCGCAAGGACAAGGACCCGAGTTCGATCCCGGGTACCAAAAAAAAAAAAGTAAAAAAGTTTCTTTAGTAATCCAGTTAAACAGATCTGACCTTATTTGATTTTGAATTTTTTTATTTGTTTGTTTTTTGTACTGAGGATTGAACTCAGGACCTTGCGCTTGCAAGGCAGGCGGCAGAACCACTGAGCTAAATCCCCAGCCCCTGAGTGTGAATTTTAAAAGGTGTTTAGATATGTTTCCCTCTAAGAAGTTAGAACAATCGACCCATGTTTTCTTTTAATACTTCTTAAAATCATTTTTTTAATGTGCTAGGGATTAAACCCATGGCCTTGTGTATGCTACCACTAAATTACATTCTCAGCCCTGTACTGTTTTAATATTCGATAGGACTGCCAGATGTGGTTGCATACCCCTGTGATCCCAGCACTCTGGGAGGCTGAACCAGGAGGATCCCCAATTTGATCTCAGCTTTAGCAATTTAGCAAGACCTTATCTCAAAATTTAAAAAGGGCTGGGCCTGTAGCTCAGTGTGAAGGCCCTGGATTGAGTCCCCACTACTGGAATCCCCTGGAAGTCATTATTCAAAATATAAGTTTAGGCCAGGGGGATTTAGCTCAGTGGTTTCGCCGCCTGCTGCGCAAGCTCAAGGACCCGAGTTTGATCCCCAGTACCAAAAATATATATATATATATATATATATATATATATATATAGTTTAAAATATATGTAATTTTCTTCCCAATGTCCACACAAAATTAACATCTGCTAATTGTCTTATTCTGTGGAGATACATAATACCTGTTCTAAGTTAATAAGTATCATTTTGCCTAATGTAAAGCCACCAAATTATTTTTTAAAACTTCATATTTACTGAAAATGTAAGAATACTCAGTGAACTACATTACTGTTGCATTTATATACATATGTAGGCACACAATAGACAATGTCACTATTGATTTACATTATTTTGAAAGCGTTTATGCCTCTCCACCAGAATACTCCATCAGAGTGGATTTACCTAAAAATAAAAACATTCTTTTATATAACCACAATATAATTACCATGATAATGAAATTTAACTCTAATGAAAATACACAGGCTTGGTAGTGCATTCCTCTACTCTCAGGTTGAGGAGGCTGAGGCAGGAAGGATTTTGAGTTAGAAGCCACCCTGGGCTACATTGCAAGATATTATGTGAATAAAAAGAACAGGGCCAGGGATTTAGCTCAGTGGTTCCACCGCCTGCCCTGCAAGCTCAAGGACCCAAGTTCAATCCCCTGTACCAAAACAACAACAAAACTGTTACATAATTTCTACTTTATATTCAAACATGTAGTTTCTAATACTGTGCATCACAGTAATTTTCCCCAACCTCAGATTTGATGTGTTTTATTATTTTGTCTTTTTGCTGTCTAAATCCATTTATCTTGGTCTTTGCCCTTCATGGCATTGAAATTACTGATCAGAAAAGGCTATTTTTGTTGATTCTTTGTTAATTTTGGTTTGTCTACTTCTTTCTTTTTTTTTTGTACCGTGGATCTAACTCGGGTCCTTGTGGTGGAACCACTGAGCTAAATCCCTGGCCCTTGTCTGTTTCTTTCTGATTCAAGTAAGGTTTAGAATTCTCAGCACTTAAGGCAGGCATGGTGGTGCTTGCCTGTAATCCCAGCACTCAAGAGTCTGAGGCAGGAAGATTGCTGCCAAGTTCAAGACCACCCTGGGATACATAGTGAGACCCTGTCTCCAAAAAAAAAAAAAAGTTATTGGCAATTTAACTACACTTAACGTTTAATATAAACTATCTGAAGTCAGTTTGTTCTTTTTTGATGAAGTTGCTCAAGGAAGCTGTATTGTCTCACAATTTGTCATATTTCCTATGTTAATTTTAAAATAACAGTCAATAGTGAGTTAAAGTACATTTTTCTCTTCTACATATGTATTTTTTCCTTGGCATACATGAATCACCTATTTTTCTATTTGTTTGGTAATTCTAATTTCCTTGTGCAATTTCGAATTTATCAGTTTTGGTTTTAATTTAACCCACTTGCATCTCATTTTTCTTTTTCAAGTCACTGTGCTATCTCATCCTCCTTCCAAATATCTATCCCATCTTTGTAAGAAGTTTAAGGGATAGTTAGCATAATTGAACTACTCTTCACTTTTCCCTTCATAGTTATATCTGAACTGCTCTTTTCTTATAAGGAATAGGATATCTTCTTTTCTTTTACTTTCAGTGTAACCAATAGTTTTGATCTATAAATTTCTACATTATTTTACTTAACTTTGAGAAAGGTCTTACTAGGTTTTATTGTTAGCCTTTTATACAGATAGATAGGTATAGATATGGATATAGATTTTTTTTTTTTGAGACAGGGTCCAGATCAGGCTGGCTTCAACTCAGTAATCCTCCTGCCTTAGCCTCCCTAGTGCTGGGATTACAGGCATGCACCACCATACCCAGCTTATCATTTTATAAGTGCTACATTTATTCTATTAGAAGTTTTAACTATTGTGCAAATTTAAAACCACTAGAAGAGGGTGCGCTATTTTCTTGGTTTTGTATCTTTGTGTGTGTGTGTTCATTGTCATGTCTACCCTACAGCCTAATTTAGGGCTTCAGAAATACCCAAAAGTATTTACCAAATTACTGCTGAATTCTCATTTTGATACTTAGAAAGGCTTTCTTTAAAATTGACAGTGGCCAAGGGCCGGGGATTTAGCTCAGTGGTTTTGCTGCCTGCTGTGCAAGCGCAAGGACCCGAGTTCCATCCCCGGTACCAAAAAAAAAAAAATTTGACAGTGGCGGGTCGTAGTGGCACACGCCTGTAATCCTACCACTAGGGAGGCAGAGGTAGGAGGATTGCCTTCAGTTTGAGGCCAGATTGGGATACATAGTGAGTTCAGGGCCAGCCTGAACTATAAAGCGAGACCCTGTCTCAAAAAAAAAAAAAAATTCCAAATAAAATTGACAGTGATTTTACATTCAATATGTCATATTCTCCTTTAATTCTCAGAAAATTGTATCATGGTGGGGCTGGGGATTTAGCTCAGTGGTTCCAGGGCCAACCTCGAAAGCGCAAGGTCCAGAGTTCGATCCCCAGTACCAAAAAAACAAAACAAAAATTGTATCATGGGCGGGGGATCTAGCTCAGTGGTTTCATGGCCTGCTGTGCAAGCGCGAGGATCCGAGTTCGATCCCCGGTACCAAAAAAAAAGAAAAGAAAATTGTATCGGTCTCATTTTTTACATAAAAGAACTAAGATGCAAAAGAGTAATATGGCTTTCTAATTTGATTTCTTTCTTTTTTTTTTTTTTTTGGTACGGGGATGTAACTCGGGTCCTTGTGCTTGAGGGGCAGGCTGCAGAGCCACTGAGCTAAATCCCTGGCCCCATCTAATTTTGGTTTCTGATAGAGAATAAATCCTGGATTTAAAATCCAGGCCCAAGCTGGGCCTGGTGTTGCTCACCTATAATCCCAGCACTTGGGAGGGTGAGGCAGACAGATCGTGACAAGTTAGAGGCCAACCTGAACTCTACATAGTTGAGAACCTGTCTCAAAAAAAAAAAGAAATCCAGGCCCATTATTTCTTCACTTCAGCAATCTTCAAATCAAAATGATTGCTTTTAGAACCCTAGATGTAAATATACTTTTTAAGAGTAGGAAATATTGAAGGAAAGATGGCTTCTGTCTAAGAGAGACAGAAGGGGATCCAGAAAGTGGATTCTCCCTAGATCTAAATATTTTAGATTTGTATATTTTGCCATTTATTTGAAATTAAAATCTTCAACAAACATTTTTGTGTAAATTGTAGTTATAAAATGGATACATGTTAGTTGTTCATTTGTCTATATTGCCAAAGTTCTGTGACCTGGAAGTGTTCTGCCAGAGGAATTATCCGACTTCCTCAGCTGACTCCCTTGCCATTACCATCTTACAGTCGTACCTGCACATGTCAAGGAATTGACCCAGAGAGGTGTGGAGCTTCATTTTCTTTTGGCTGCTCATGGAGCATGTATTTCAATGGATGCAAATTTGGTAGAAGCCCAAGCCCCAGAAGATTTAGAATTGATCCAAGTTCTCCCTTACACGTAAGTGGTTTGTTTTTTTTTTTTCATTACACAGTGTATATATAAGTACATTTCTTTATTTTTTTTGAAACTAACAAAAGTTGAAAAAGTAGTAACAAAATACTAAGTATATATAAATAATTTAAAATTCTAAATAAGTAAGGGCTTTAACTGTCAACCCAAATCCCAATTGTCTGTGGCCCGCCTCCCCTCCTCATGCTCCCCAAACCCCAAGGAAATCATTGTTAAAAGAACCTAGAATTCTATACCCAGCCAGAGTAGGAAAAACCATTTGCCAGCATTTCAAAGTCTCAGAAAGTTTACTACCCACAGACCTACTATGAAAGAATTACTAAAGGACGTAATCCAGAAAGAAGATATGTGAAACCGGAACGAGTCTGTAAGGAACACGTGGCCATGGTGAGCAAAGAAATTAGTCAACCTTGGTGTTAAGTTTAAATAAGCTGAATTCTTAAATTTTTTAAATATAAAAAAGAACCGATAAATATGATTCCATGTTCTTTTCAAATTGAGAGTGGGAGGCAGTGGGAGGGGGTGTGGCTCAAAAGAAGGTATGGTGATGTGTTGTGCTTTGTTTAGGGGATGAGGATTTACCAATTAATTAACTGGAAGGTCAGTGTTTTCCAAATTTTGAGCAGTGACCAAAAGTAAAAAGCATTATAAATGCACTTGCATTTATACAAATGAATAAAACAAAAGTAAGACTTTAATATTTACCTTCAAGTTAATATGGATTCTTCTAATTTATGACAATATTATTAACTTTCATTTCTTTATAAAATGCTGATTCAACTGATATGGCCAGCCAAGAGATCATGCCCCACAGTTTGGAAAACACTACTCTTTAAGTGTTGCACATAGTTGACAAGGTATATATTTTTAAAACTTCTTAAAACAATCCTTCCATAAATCACCGGAAATGGTTTAAAAATCACTGGCATGCAAGATAAATACAAAGCACAAAATTAAATAGCCAGAATTAATCCATCAGTATATGTAGTGTATATGTACTACAGTTAATGTAACAACTTTCAAAAAGAGCTTAAAATCGGGCCGGGGATTTAGCTCAGTGGTTTTGCCACTTGCCTCACAAGCCCAAGGACAAGCCAAGGAGTTCGATCCCCAGTACCAAAAAAACAAAACAAAACAAGAGCTTAAAATTATTAAATAATATTCCCTTTAAAGAGATAACCAAATAGCATTTTCTAGATTTTTTCAGCTAATTCAATAAAATAATAGCATTAACTCAAAAATTATTTGCAGATACTATTATCTCCCATGTTGAGAATACACAATAATTAAGCCACACAATATTATGATTGTTAATAGAGTTTACAGGATGGCTACATAATGGGCTATTTTGTTAAATTTCAGTAACTTTCTTCTCTATCAATAAATTATCTCAGAAAAAGGCCAGCACGAAGTATATTAAACTCTTCAGTAGAAAACTATAAAACTTTACAAAAGGGACACAGATAACTGAAAATGGACAGATCCTGTGCTCTTAGATGGGAATACCCGAAAGCAGTGGTGGTAAGGGACAGAGATTTAGCTCGGTGGTGCCGAGCCTGCCTCTCAAGAGCAAGGTCCTGAGTTCGATCCCCAGTACCAGAAATAAAAATAAAATTAACCAGTGGTGGCAAACCTATGGCACATGTGGGCTTTTTATCATTGAAAGTTCTAAAAGGTTCACCATTGCTACTCTGTAGTGGGCTGCTCGTTCTTTCTAAATATGACATGATAGAAGTGTGTGTTAGTATATAATTATATTTTGAACACTGACAAAATTGTTAAATTTTTGTCCGTAATCCTGCTAAGTAATGAATGAATGTAAAACGTTTCACTTGTGGTGATTTGTATTAACAAGTAACGCCTTATAGTGCTTGTGATCTAGGAGGACAAGTGCTCATTCCAGCTACTTTCAGAGGCCGGTACAGCTGAAGTTTGGCAGGCAAGGGACAGTAAGGTGCATGCAGCAGACTTATAAGCCACAGCAAGAGGTCTGAAAGATCATAGAAGGGTTTGGAGAGGAGGAGGAAGAGACTTACACTCTCTGAATGCTGTTTGAGTAATGGATTGGAATTAGCCAGGTGTGGGTTTGGCAGGGGGAGGTCACCACCTATGAGGACAGCCCTGGAAGGGGTAATGGTGGCTCAGAACAGGGTTGTGACACAGGGATTGGTGAGCAGTGGTGGGATGGAGGTGCTGCCTTTTGATACGTAGTACAGTACCGTAGGACCATGTTGTAGAGCAATGGTAATGTGTTCACTCTGAGCATTGGGGATGGAGGTTCCGAAGGGAAATCTCAGCAGTGATCTCATGTCAGTAATGCTGAGTGCATCTGTAGATGTGGTCTGGGCAGTAATTATAGCCATGGGTCACCAGAAATCAGATACAGCAAGAAGAGCCAAAAACACCAGTAGGTAAAGATGCAATGTGAAATCACTGCTATTATATATAACATGCATGTTGTTCTGATGAGACAACTAGAAAGTTAGGATTTTTTACAACCTGACTAAAGGGCTTAGCACTAGAGAGTGATACCAAGAGTTATCAATACAAGCTTCTTCTCCTTGTTTCTATTTACCTACTTTTTTCCTAAGTTTTCACACTATTCTTACTTACAGTGACACTGGATATTCTATAATAGGTACTATTATAAAGTACAAACAAATGAGGTCACAACACTGCAGAATTTAGACCTAATAGTGCATAAGAAGAATACAATTTACCTGCGATTTTTCCTTTTTTTTTTTTTTTTTTTGGTACCAGGGATCAAACTTGGGTCCTTGCGCTTGCACAGCAGGTGGAGAAACCACTGAGCTAAATCCCCGGCTACCTGCGATTTTTCTAATGTTTACATCAATAGAAGTACATAAACTTGTTACCACTACTCTGCATTATTGTAGTAGCAGAAAAATACAACACCCAGCTTACCCAGTATTACATGATCAAAAAAAAGTATGATCAAAACCTTCTAGGTCCAGGGATTTAGCTCAGTGCTCACATGCACAAGGTCCCGAGTTGGATCCCTGGTACCAAAAAACAAAAAACAAACAAAAAACCCTTCTAAATGGTCTTTAAATCATCACTCCAAAGTTCCTCCTAACAATAAATAATGTACACGTATAGCTATGAACTGCTATTAAAGCACTGTCCTGACTTTTGAGCTACAATGAGTCAGAACCACACAAGTGGACTAATCTGGAAATAAGACCTCTATACATGTGCTTCTTTTTTTTTCTTTTTATTTTCTATATGGACTTCTTTGTCTCTCTGTCTGTCTCTCTCTCCCCCCTCCCCCAAACCCAGGCCTTTCACACAGCTATATCTCCACCCTTTTTATTTTTAAACAAGGTCTCACTATGTTCCCCAGGTTAGCTTGAAGTTGCAGTCTTCCTGCCTCAGCCTCCCACAGTGCTGAGACCACAGGATTTCTTGTATAATCAAAAGATGAACCTAAATTAGTAGTAAAACAATGGGTTGTCACTTACGTTCATGGCGTGCAAAAAAACCCGAAAAAACAAAAAAAAACCCAACAAAACTCACAGAACTGAGTTCCTGTAGAGTTTGCCTTGTTCGGTGGCTTTGGCTTTCATCCGGACCTTGGGCCACTGAGAAGTGAGGTGCTACACACAGCCTTCTGTCTAGGAGCTCGCCCACCAGGCACAGCCGCATCTGCCTTCTGCTCCTGTTCTATCCTTGGTCCCAGTCTGCTTGAGACTCAGTTGAATGTGTCTGCTCATTTCTCAAGTTCTAACCTGACTCAACGTAATCGCTTCAGAAAAGCTTTCAGTGGCCTTTCAACTGTCGTTTCCAGGGTCTCCCATCTCTCTATCATTCCTCCTACCATGATCACCTCTGTAACAGACACCCCTGTTTGAAGACGTCTATAGCAACCCAGGCACTTAGGCGGCATCATAGTCCTCACTCAGCTTACTGCCATTCGGGCATAGAAGACACAGTACTGGTTGTAGACAACTAGCTGCCCACTTGACTACTCCCCCACCCCGACCCTGTACTGGGGATCAAATTCAGGACCTTGCACGTGCCACTGAGCTAAATCCCTGGCCCCAACTTGATTACTTTTGATCTTACAGATGAGGCAGCTACTAAACTTGTCATGCCAAATTTACCATTCTAAAAAGTATAATTGTTCATGGTATTATTTTAAGGGCATAGTATAGTTGAGATTCAGCACAGGATGTGGTGCATCCTTTGTATTTTATGCATGTTTCTCTCCTCTGTTAGCACACTATGTCACCTTGATCATATTAAGTCACCTGACCTGGTCTTCATTTATTTGAAGTACCCAATACTGTTTAATAAATATAAACTATGGTTCTCATTCTTAGCAATGTGAGCCACTTGCGCAACTTTATTATCTTCAGCAGTATTTACATTTCTAGTTAACTTAGAGCAATTCTCATTTTTAAAATGTAATTATGCATAACAATTCCCAATAGTTCCGCTGATTTTCTATGGTAGCTGTTTTGTTATGGTAAGTATAGATTATGCATCAGCAAATATTTCTAATGCAGTTTCATACCTTATGCTCATTTAGATGTCATTATAAAATAACCTAGATATGGACTGTCTTTTCCTATAGGAAAAGAACCTGGAAGATAATTTACAGAATCTGGCTACAGAATTAGCTCCAATTTATAAGCAGTATGCACCTGTTGCTTACCAAAATCAGGTATGTTTTGGACTCTTTAACAGTGCTCTTCAGCATGGTTTTAGATTTCTATGTAGAGCGGGGCATGGTGGCGCACACCAGTAATCCCAGCACTTGGAAGGATGAGACAGGATTGCCTTGAGTTCAAGGCCAGCCTGGGATACAGTCAAAGGCCAGCCTCAACTACACAGTGAGACACTGTCTCAAAAAATAAATAAACACATAAAGTACTCCTTAATAGAAAACTATTCAAATTTGAATTTTAATATACAATTTTTGTTGAATTGCTTTAAAATGATCTAATACTTTAAAATATGTCATCCTTTTACATCAGTTTGATTAAAATACCAGGGTGGCAGAATTATGACTGTTTCTACTTTTGGGGGACATGCTAAGGATTGAGCCCAGGGCCTTACACATAAGTTATTTGCAAAGCATATAGAAATTGGAAATAAGTGCAAATTTTTTTTAAAATACAGTGCTGGATATTAAACATGGTACTACACACCCAGCATCAAAAGTCTATTTCCTTAAAAATCTTTAGTTTATTTGGATTCTTGTGAATAGCTTGCTCTTGGTTAAATTCCAACTTTACTTTTTTTTTTTTGGTACTGGGGATCGAACTTGGGACCTTGTGCTTCCAAGGCAGGCAGCAGAGCCACTGAGCTAAATCCCCAGGCTGGCATTGTTTTGATTTTGGTTTGATTTCCTTTTTTTGAGACAGGGTCTCACTACATATTCCAGGCTATCCTTGAACTCACAGCAATCCTCCTGCCTTAGCCTCCTAAGCGCCAAATAAAGTCCTTATTTCTTGTTTGTTTGTTTGTTTTTTGGTACGGGGGATCAAACTTGGGTCCTTGCACTTGCGCAGCAGGTGGTAAAGCCACTGAACTAAATTCTGGACCCTAAAGCACTTATTTGTAATGAAATCATTTAGGCTACTTTTTTAGCCACCACCACCACCAGGAAGTCAGGTCCTCCCTCAACCTTCAGATGCAGTCAGGGGTTATGGTTTTAAGCTGTATATTCTCAAGCACTTTCTCCTGACTCTTGCTAAGCTACGCATTCATTACAACAATACACTGTGGTCTCAGAAAGCTCAGAAATTACACAATTAGGAGGTTACTTCTACTGTTTATTAGAAATGATTCTTTCTATCTCTTGAGTCTTGTGGTTCCATCCTTTTAGGTGGAATATGAACACGTTGCCCGAGAATGCCGGCTTGGTCGAAAGGAAGGTCGCCCTTTCTCCGGGGTCACTGCGTGCCTGGACTTCTGTGCACATCCGCATCGGGACATCCACAACATGAACAACGGAAGCACTGTGGTGAGCGCCATGGGGCTGTGCATCAGGAACCTCTGGCACAGCATGCCTAGGCTGCAGTCTTTACATGTGATCACTGTTGTGACAAATTGCATGTCATACATTGTTAGATATCGTGTGGGATGTGCTTCCTTCACAGCACATACACTAAAACTTAGATATGGATTGCTTCTCAGCCTTTTGGCTAAGATCAAGTGTAAAACTTAGATATCGAGTGGGTGATGTTTATTAAACATTATCAATGTCTTTCCAACATATTATAAACCAAGCCTCGCTTTGTGGCCAACTTTAGATCATATTTTTGGGGAGGGAATACCGGGGATCAAACTCAGGACCTTGAGCTTTCAAGGCAGGCGGTGGAACCACTGAGCTAAATCCCTGGCCATCTAATTCATATTTTTAATCATGTTTTTTTTTTGCTGGGAGGAAGGAGTACAGGATTATTTGAAGCTATCAAACTGTGGTGGTGCATACCTGTAACGCCAGCAGCACTGCAGAGGCTGAGCAGGAGGAGCACATAAAGTTGACTTAAGTTAATTTTCCATTTTGTATGGTTTGGTTTGTTTGGGGTTTTTGTTTTGTTTTGTTTGAGATATTTTCACTTTGTGGTTCAGTCTTGCCTCGGGTTCTCTATGTATCCCAGGCTGACCTCAAACTCATGATCCTCCTGCCTCAGCTCCCTGAGTGCTAGCATTATTAATATCCAGCACCATTCCTGGCTTTCTTTTTGGCATGTGTACTTCAGGGTTTTTGTGTGGAGTTTTATTGGATTCAGTTTGATTTTTGAGCCAGCATCTTACTTGGTATTCCAGGATGGTCTTTAAACTCCTTATGTAGCCTTGAGTCTCCTCCTGCCTCAGCCTGCTGACTCTGAGATTATAGGTGTGCACCACTGTATGGACCAGTTTATTGGTTCTTTTTTGGGGGGGAGTATTGAGCTCAGGACCTTGTGCTTATGAGGCAGGCGAGGAACCACTGAGCTAAATCCCTGGACCCCTGCAATTCGTTTTTAATCCCAGTCCATATCTACCAGTGGTTGTTTGACTCCAGGTTGTTTCTTTGTTTTGTTTGGTTTGGGTTTTTTTGGTACCAGGGATGAACTTGGGTCCTTGTGCTTGCAGGGCAGGCAGCGCAACTACTGAGCTAAATTCCCAGCCCCTGACTCCAGGTTCTGTGGGCTATGTCTGTAGTCTGAACATAATCCACCTCAATCCAATCAAAACCTTTGTCTCTTTGTTGTGTGGTGTTTGTGTCTGTGCTGAGGACTGAACACAGGGACTTGCACTTGCCAGGTAGTCACTTTACCACCTTGTAAAGTTACTTCTTTTTCTTTTTTTCTGGTTTTCTGTGTTTTTGTTTTGTTTTTGGGGGCTGAGGAGGAGGGAATATAGAGGATCAAACCCAGGGGTGCTCTACCACTGAACTATATCCCTATTCCTTTTCTTTTGATTTTTCGTTTTCTTATTTTTTTGAGACAGGGTCTTGCTTTGTAGTCCAGGCTGGCCTGAAACGCAATTCTCCTGCCTCAGTCTCCAAGTACTAGGAGTACAGTGGTGAGCCACTTCGCCTGGTGGCTCATTTTTACTTTTGACACAGTCTCACTAAATTGCCCATCCCTGACTTAGGATCCTCCTGCCTCAGGCTCCCTAAGTACTGAGATTACAGGTATACACCACCTCGCCCTGCTCATGTCACCTTGTGAAAGAGAATAATCTCTTTGTTTTTTGGTTTGCCCAGTAATTTTGAAACGTTCATTAAATCTGAAGAGATGATGAAAAATGATGAGATACAAAGAAATACACAAAGTAGTCTTCTTTCCTTGCTTGGTCAGCATAAGTGTGTCCGGGTAGACCTAGTAGGCCAAATCATATGGTTGCAAATCATTCCTCACCACTAATAACGAATATAGTCTTGTGACCTTTTTCTTTTTTAAAAAATTAATTTCATTGGTAAAATTTAAATATACATAAGGATCATATTCATCAAAGGGAGTTTGTAGCTGTACATGATATATCTTGATTCTTCTTTTTTTCCCAATCCCCTCTTCTCTCTCTCTCCTTTTCTTTTTTTGGTACTGGGGATCGAACTCAGGACCTTGCACTTGCGAGGCAGGCGCACTTGCGAGGCAGCTGGCGGAACCACTAAGCTAAATCCCCAGCCTCCCCTCTCTTTGTTTTTTGAGACAGGGTCTCTCACTTTGTAGCCCAGGCTAGCCTTGAATTCACAGCAACACTCCTGTCTCAGCTTCTGACGTGCTTGAAATTATAAGCATGTGCCACCATTTCTGTAAGCCCAATGTCATCTCCAAATGATGAAGTTACATATATTCATCCTGGTGAGCCAGGTGTGGTGGTGCACACCTATAATCCCAGCAGTCAGGAGGCTGAGGCAGGAGGATTGCTGTGAGTTTGAGGCTAGCTTGGGCTATATAGTGAGATGAGACCCTGTCTCAAAAAACAACAAAAATTCCACCCTGGTAAATCCTGGCCAGGTAGTGATTCTTTATTACCCTTTGGTCAGGACTTTTTCCATTAACTGCCTTGACGTCAAGCTGGATTAGGTTCAGAGTAAAACCAAGTTTGAGTTCAAGATTTCCCTTTGTTCTTTGACATCCTTCTAAATTTCCTTTTTCGCTGACTTTAACAGTGTTTTGTGTCTTTTTAAAAATTCATCTTGAAAAAAAAATTCATCTTGTCATTTAATTTTTTATTAGTATATGTTTGCAATGCAAAACAATTGCATCTATCATGGTATGTTGGTGCATGTGCATAACAAGTCGTAATTCTCTTTCTTGTCCAGTTCCCCTCCTTCCCTCCAATTCTTGGTCCCCTTCCCATCAGTCAAAGTTCTATTTGTTTTCCCCTTAAATATTTTTTTCAACCCCTTTCTCTCCCCTCTGTCCCCCCTGCCTCCGAATTTTCTAATCTTGAAATTGTAACTAAGTCTCTTCTTTCATCCTGTTTCCTAATTTTTCTGCTTATCTTATCTCCTAGTTGTCCCCTCTTCAGTCTCCACATGGACAAGTAAATTGGTTAAAGTAAACTGGGGGAAGTTAGGGGTGGGTGATGCAGGCCTATAATACCAGCACCCTGGGGAGCTGAGGTGGGAGGATCACAAATTTGAGCCCAGCCTGGGCTATTTAGCAACTTAGTGAGACTTAGCCTCCAAAAAAAAAAAATGCAGGGGCAAGGCTTAGTGGTGCAGGTGTGTAATCCTAGCACTTGGAAGGTTGTGGCAGGAGGATCACCAGGAGTTTGAGGCCAACCTGAGCTACACAGTGAGACCCTGTCTCAAAAAAAAAAAAGGCTGGATCAATTTGAAGGCCCTGGGTTCAGTCTCCAACACCTCAAATCAGTCAGTCTATCCAGCCATTGAGGTACACACTTGTAATCCCAGCTACTCTGAAAGTTAAGATAAGACCATCATTTGAGACCAGCCTGGGCAACATAGAGAGACGCTGTCTCAAAAACAAACAAAAAGGCCATGCATGGAGATGCACACTTATACTCCCAGCACTCAGGAGGCTGAGGTAGGAGGATCCCTGTGAGTTCAGTGCCAGCCTGAACTACATAGTGAGGCCCTATCTCAAAACCAAAAAGAAAAAAATAAAAGCCTAGTTGAGGGGCCAGGGATTTAGCTCAGTGGTTCTGCTGCCTGCCTCGGAAGCGCAAAGTCCTGAGTTGGATCCCCGGTACCAAAAAAAAAAAAAAGCCTAGTTGAAGTAAACATTTATCAATTAAAGATTTCTGGTTTCAGACATTTTCAAAGTACTACCATTTTAGCCTCCATGACAGTTCAGTACTTCCAATCTTTTAAATACTACTAGAAATATTAAGAAAGTACTGTGAGTTTAAATTATGGTGAATTTTGCTATACCATACATCCTACTTACTTTTCTCATTGCTAGGACAAAATACCCAAGTTAAAGGAGGAATGGTTTATTTCAGTTCACAGTCTGTAGAAGTTTCAATCCATAATCTGCTGACTCCAAAGCAAAATGGCATGGCAGAGGGGCATCACAGAGGAGAAAGAGTCCATGGCAGGGTAGGCGGGAAAAAAGCAGCGGCAGTGAGCCAGCTTTCCTTCTTTCCCCTCTTTACCCTATCCACGCTACAAGCCTATTATTGGTGCCACCCACACCAATCAGTGGATTAATCCAGTTACAACACCCTTAAGCCAGTGTCATGCATCCTTGACTCAGTCACTACCAAAGCGCCCCCATTCGTGAATGCTTGGGCTTTGGGGGAACATTGAGGTAGACATAAGCCATTCTGCCATCTGTATGCATTGTTCCATCTATCAGGAAACCCAAGACACGTTGAAAAGTGAAATCTGCCTGTATCATTTATTTCCAATCTTTTTTTTTTTTTTTTTTTTGGTACTGGGGATCGAACTCGGGACCTTGCACTTGCGAGGCAGGTGCGGGAACCACTGAGCTAAATCCCCGGCCCTCTAGTCTTTATTATGTTAAAATGAGCTCTTATCTCTAGGGAAAATGTTTTTAATGAAAAAAATGAAATCATTTCATATAATTGTGATGGATTTCTAGTGAAAAGTAATTACAACTGAAATATTAGTTGATAAAGCAGAATATTTATATTAGGTTGCAAAGGTCAAGCAGTCTCGAGGTGTGATGGTTCATTCTGATTTATGTACAATGTAGAAGTATAATGAGAGTTAGAAGAGTGTCTGGGAGTGGTGGTACATGCCTGTAATCCCAGCACTCAGAAGCAGAGTCAGGAGGATCCACAAGTTTGAGGCCAGCGTGGGCTACCTAGTGAGTTCAAGGCCTACTACATAGTGAGTTGGAGGCCAACCTGAATGAACTATACAGTGAAACCCTGTCTCAAAACAACAAAACTAAATAAAAGATGAATAGATTTCTTGCTACTGTACATGTTTGCAGTATGTAATGGTTATACTCCTTGAGGTGGTTGGTACATGTAACCTAACAGGTGTTAATTCTTTGTAAGAGTTCCCTCCCCCCCTTCTCAAGAAAAAATTTTAAGTAAATATGTACATTTATAGGAACAATAAATTTATATGTTATTCCTTACTGGAACAGAAGAAAAAAATGTCACAAAAGGAAAACAGAAATGGCTCAGGATGGCCATGGCGATGTATACCTGTTATCCCAGCACTCTGAGAGGCTGAGGCAGGAGGATGCAAAGTTAGAGCCCAATCTAGCCAATTTAGCATCTTAGCATGGCTATCTGAAAATGTGCAAAGGGCTGGGATGGAGCTCAGTGTACAGTCCCTGGGTTCAGGCCCCAGTGCTGCCAGGAGGGAAGACTGCACTGACATGACCTCTTCTCCCACCGGCCCCTGTCCTCCCTGTAGGTCTGCACTCTGACCCGGGAAGATAACCGCTCCCTGGGCGTCATCCCCGAGGATGAGCAGCTCCACGTCCTCCCATTGTACAGACTGTCTGACACAGATGAGTTTGGCTCCAAGGAAGGCATGGAAGCCAAGATCCAGTCGGGGGCTGTGCAGGTCCTCCAGCCCACTCGGAGGAAGAGGATGCGCTTCACGCAGCCAGTACCTCGCTCTGGGAAGAAGCGGGCAGCAATGATGACTGAGGTCCTGGAGCGCAAGATCAGGGCGGTGGAGAAGAAGCAGAGTCCTCGGGTCAAGCGGAAGAACAACTCTGCCATGGCCAACAACAGCAAGGCAACATCACTGCCCATCCCAGGTGAGCCCAGGACCTGCCCACTTCCTCGGTAGCCTTGTGTGGGCAGAGGGTTTGGACTTCCCTTGCACCTGCTGTCCTCTCTCCTATGTCTTTGGTGCCCCCTTAGAGATGAGCCAGTATGAGAGAAGACAGTAGTTCACACACTAGTTACTTTTTTTATTGTTTTAGAGAAGGTTTCACTATATGTTCCAGGCTAGCCTTGAACTCAAGATGTAGCCCAGGCTGTCCTCAAACTTTTGGTGATCCTCCTGCCTCAGCCTCCAGAGTACTGGGATTACAGGTGTGTTCAACCACACCTGCCTAGCTAAAATCTCATTTGACTTTGGTTATTATAATTTGTTTTAGGGTTTAAACTAAGACACTGGGGTGCCGGGGATTTAGCTCAGTGGTTTCACCTCCTGGTGCACAAGCACAAGGACCCGAGTTCGATCCCCGGTACCAAAAAAAAAACTTGTGAAAAACTAAGACCCTGGGGCCAGGGATTTAGCTCAGTGGGTTTGCCGCCTGCTGCGCAATCGCAAGGGACCCAAGTTCCATCCCTGGTACCAAAAACAAAAACTAAGACGCTGAATATATTTCTACATATATACCAGGGTTAAAAGTGAACAAAAAAGTGACACAGCTTTTTGGGGTCTTACCAGTGTGCCTGTGAATCCCCTGTGTATTTTCAAGCCCTACGTACTCTTCTTGGTATACATAAAACAGCAGCACTTCTGGGAAGCCTTCTTTTCATGTGTGGCATCATCTGCATGCACTGGTCTGAGCCATCCCTGTGCTGGAAACACAGGATCCGAGGGGAGGGAGATGCTGCCGCCAGGGCTACATCCAGCTGGGTGGGCCGGAGGTTGGCTGCGAATGCAGCATTTGAGGAAAGTGCTGCCTGAAGAGTCCAAAGTGGGATCTTTGGAGAAGCAGTGTTCTGGTACAGGAAACAGCAAGCTCAAGGCCTGTGTATTGGAGGTGGGCAGGGGTCAGCCTGGCTTGGAATGTTAACCGAAAGTAGCAGGGGAGGCAGTCTCAGAATTAAGTGGATGCCCAGCGGTTCATCTCGGTTTTGGTGGATCAGCCTGCCTTGTGAGCTTCGGAAATGTTACTGATGAGGTCAGATTATAGCAAGGTTTTGTTTTTGGGGGTTTTTTGGTACCGAGGATCGAACTCTCAGGTCCTTGCACTTTCGAGGCAGGCGCCGGAACCACTGAGCTAAATCCCCGGCCCCACAGCAAGGTTTGATCAGGTTCCAACATAAACCTGCTCACTGGGTGGAAACCATAATGAAATGGGCAGATGATAGTAAACGTGAGAGAAATCATAAGTCCCTCCTAATAACAGGGAGAGGATGGAGCTCCAGAGTAGCTAATGAATGAGGGCATGAGAAATGTCTGGTTCAGATTTGTTTGTGGGTTTTTTTTGAGACAGGGTCTCACTATATAACTCATGCTGGCCTTAGACCCAAATCAGTTCTCCTGACTCAGCTTCCTAAGTGGTGGGATTATAGGCTTGTAACACCACAGAGTATGTTTTGAAGAGAACTTCAATAGAGATTCCTGATATATTAAATATGGAGTTAGCTGGATATGGTGTCATGCACCTGTAATCCCAGCACTCATGAGGCTGAGGCAGGAAGATTTCTGAATTAGAGACCAGCCTGGGTCACATAGTGAATTCAAGGCCAGCCTGAACCTAGAAGGATGTAGGAACTGTCAACCAATGAGGAATGGGGAGAGAAGAGCAGGAGAGATAGATGTGGAGGTGAGAGCCCACATTTTGACATGTCCAGTGGAGATACACGATATTGAAAGATATGATTTAGGGCCGGGGATTTAGCTCAGTGGTTTTGCTGCCTGTTGTGCAAGTGCAAGGACCCGAGTTCAATCCCCGGTACCAAAAAAAAAAAAAAAAATGATTTAGGGGGCAGCAAGCACTGAGGCAGTATTTCAAACAAGGAAACTAAAAGAGGTACGAATGATTCAAGGAAAAACCCTGGGAATTTTGATTTCTTGGGTTTCGAGAGTGAGGAGGAAGCAGCTGGAGAGACTTAGAAGGTCTGGTCAGCAAGAGTGAAGCCAGGCTCTCCCGTTTCAGAGAGGAGACGACCAAATTGCCAGAGTTACTCCTAGGAAAGTGACTCAGAAGACAGGTGTCACTGTTACATTTGGAGGCTGTTGGTGATTCTGGACAATGTTGGACTGGCAAATAAATGAAGTGAATTAAAATGGGAAGAATTCTTAGGGTTGATAATAAAAGCCATGGATGGAATGTAGCGAAGATCGTAAGAGTCGAGAAATTTTTTAATGGGAAATTTTCAAAACCATACAAAATAGAGGAAATTGTATAATGAGTCCCCCCCCCATGCAGAATGTTTCAATACAAAATCATACTCATTTAATCACTCAGGCCCCACCCTTTAGAGATCCGCTATTAACCATGGATTCATCAGTATGTGTCCCAAGATGAATCTTTATAACAGTAGCACTTACAACAAAACAAGTAGAACACCCTAATGATGCCATTACTGCTTCAGAAGGGTAGTGCTCAGGGGAGAACACTTCCCTAGCACGCACAAGGCCCAAGGTTCAACCCTCGGCATTGACTAACAAACAAAAAATTGCTCCAGCTGGGCATGGTGGTGCACGCCTGAAATCCCAGCACTCTGGAGGCTGAGGCAGAAGGATCACTGAGTTTGTGGTCAGCCTAGGCTACATAGTGAATTCAGGGCCAGCCTGAACTACAAGGAGAGACCCTGCCTCAAAAAAAAAAAAAAAAAAAATTGCTCCATTGGTTGTCTATTTAAGTTTTGTTTTTTACTTTTGGTTTGTTTCAGCCCATATCTAAAGAAAGATCACATATGTTAATATCTCTTTTAAGCCTCTTTTTTTTAAGGCTCACTTTTTCTCCTCTTCATTTTATTATTTTAAATAGCACAGAGAGAGTCCTATACATAATTTTCCCTATGTTTCTTCAAATCTGGGAGAATATAGTGTCTGATAGTTTCATTTTATGATACTCACATCGATCGTGGGTCAACTGTTGCTGACCTGAGTTACTGATTATGAAGTTTTCTATTAGCTTTTTACCTAATTGTTTGGGAAACATTCATGATCTTTGTCTATAGTCTTAATTACAATTAGCAATTTATCATTCTTTTGTTAATTGATATTGTTTTAAAAAGAAAGATTGTCCTTATCAATAATTTGGTACAAAGAAGCAGCATAAATCCGTAAGGCAGAGTGCCTATTTTTCCTAGCACTACGGGAGGCTAAGGCAGGAGAATCACAGTTTCAAGCCCAATCTGGGCAAATTAGTTATTTAGTGAGACCCTATCATAGATAAAAACTTAAAGAAAAAACAAAATACTAGGGATGTACCTAGGTGCAGAGGGTTCAATCCCTACTACCAAAAAATGAAAAGCTTAATTATTTGCCTTTTTTCAGAACACAGGTTGGTTTTCAAGTATCTCCCAGTGTAATCAGCTTGGGAAATATAGTACTGGATCATTTTGATTTCACAAATGTTTGAATATGGATTATTTGTCAGTACATATTGATCCCCCCGCAAAACAAAATTCTAAAATATTTCAGAATGTTCAGATCTTTTCCTCTTTGGTGTGTAGAAACCCCTGAAGCCGGCTTGGGAATTGTTTTATTGCAATTCTGGTTGTCTTTAATAGCTTTCTTAGCTTCTGTTACAAGATGTTGCAGGATCATATAATTCTGCCCCATATCTAAAACCAGGCATTTCTCTAAGGAGCCCTTGGCGGGGTTATGAATTGATGCTGAGCTTCACACTTAAGAGATACAGGGAGGGCTGGGGTGTGGCCAAGTGGTAGAGCATGTATGGAGTGGGCACAAGGCCTCAGGTTCAGCCCCCAGAACCCATCCCCCCACGAAAGAATCACAGAATGTTCCTTAGCCTCCTAATTTAGAAGAGAAATACTAAAAGTGAGACAGGGTTACATTCCTTCTTGGTTGTAGCCCCATTTTTTTTTTTACTGATAGTTAACAGTTCCATGCTGCTCAAAATGAGCAGTCAGATCATTTTCACCCTGTGTCAATCATTCCCCACTGCTATCCCTATACATAAGTTAAATGTAAATGTCTTCTGGATGTCATTTTCTTAGCCAGATTCTTCTAGTGTTCCGTGGTATCAGCCAAATGAACAATATTTCACCCATTGTCTCTAATCCTTTGCATTTTTTACCTATAAAAGAATTTTTTAACATCAATAAAAGACTCAATAAAAAAAGACTCAATAAAAGATACATTAATCTTTTAATATTTTTCCTTTAGCTAGGTGTGGTGTACCACATGCCTGTAATCCCAGCACTCAGGAGGCTGAGGCAAGATGATCACCATAAGTTGGAGCCCAGCGTGGGCTACATAGTGAGAGCCTATGTCAAAAAAAAATTTTTTTTTCTTCCAATAATTCACATAATGATGCCACTGATAGTTGCATAAGCTTCCTCAGGTAGTGCTCCTGCGTGCGTGTGTGTGTGTGTGTGTGTGTGTGTGTGTGTGTGTGTGTTTGTGTTACTAGGGATTGAACCTAGGTGCTTTGCACTGAGCTACATCTCCAACCGTTTTTGTTTTTATTTTGAGATAGGATCTTCCTAAATTACCCAAGCTGAGCTCCAAATTTTAATCTTCCAGCCTTAGCTTCCCAGAATGTTGTGATTACAGGCATGTTTCCCAATTCCTGGTAATACCATTTTTTCTGTTTTGGTTTGGTTTATGGGGGTTTTTTTGGTTTGGTTTTGTTTTTTAAGAGTCTCACTATGTAGCTCAGGCTGGCCTCCAACTTGTTAGCAGTCCTTCTGCTCCAGCCTCCGGAGTATTGGGATTACAGATGCACACCACCAGCCCTAGGGCTATTCAGATGATTCTTTTTTTATTATTATTATTATTCCAAACAATTTTGGCAAATCACATCAACCTCATCCATTATTTCTTCCACTATGGTAATTCTTATTTAGAAGAGAACTGCAGATCTGAAGCTGATCAAGTTTTTTTGTTATATTATTATTTCAAAACAGGACTGCTTTATTTTTTTTCAGATTGGTGCTAAAATTTATGGTTTTTGCATTTCCAAAGAAATAGAACTTCAAAACAAATAGAAATGTTTCTTATATATTCAACAAGTATGTTTCTATTTGTTGAGGCCTACAACATTACAGTAAATTACCTACAATTACCAATGTGGTAGAAATGATCTACCTACTTAGCATCCTTACCTACTTGTTGTTCCTTTGCATCTACAAAATTTTATATTCTTCCCCAGTAATTGACCTGAAGAGTCATGAAGCTTTTATTTCACATAAATATTTATAAGCTATTGCTTATTTTTCCTTTCCAAAAATCAAATCATGAAATAACCTAAAAGGCATTGAAACAGCTCTTTGGGTAGATTATTATTGTTCTGTGTCTTTGCATTATTATTCCGGTGTTTAGTTGGAGTATTTACCTTATAGGTAGTTACAGCATTTTTAATACTTTACGCCTTTAAAACAATATTTATCCTTTTGGCTACATCTTTGGAAGAACTTAGGGAAAATTGTTGGACAAGAAAGTATATCAAGGTGGAGGTATAGCTCAGTAGTAGAGCTTTGGCCTGACATGCTCTAGGCCCTAGTTTCAGTCCTTAGCACGGGGGGATAAAAATTTAAAACCCTTTAAAGCTGACAATTACCAACCATGCCTGATGGTGCATGCCTGTAATCCCACCACCTGGAAGGCTGAGCCAGGCGGATCACTGAGTTCAAGGCCAGCCTGAATTGCATAGTGAGACCCTGTCTCCAAAAAACCGAAAAAGAAAGAAAGATGACAATTACCAAAATAGTTTGTGTTCATTTTCACATTTGATGTCCCTTTCTGTTTAAGGAATAATAGTGAGACAATGCGACCCAGAATAAAAAGTGAAACTAAACCCCATTTTATCTTCAAAGGTTCAGACAACACTAAATGCTATTCATCGGTCCCATCCATGCCTCACCCCGTGAAAGAGGCAAACCTGTCTCCAGTCTTCTGTCCCCTGAAGCCTCCTCCCTTGACAGCAACTCCAGTTAGGTACCCTAAGATAGGCTCGCTCGCATTCCCGGGGAGAAGCAGCACTGACCCCTGCACCACGCCTCCTGCAGCCCCCGCAGGTGCTCACGTAGCTGCAGGGGAGAGTGCAGCAGCTCCTGTCCCCACCCTGTCCCCACCCATGCGGGAGCCCCTGGCTTACCCCGAGCCTCCCCCTGGCCCGGCTGAGCATCCGGGCCAGCAGCCCCTCTTCCTCGCATCCTGCCTGGCGGATGAGGAGGAGCAGCACTGGGAAGGGGATGAGCCACTGTCAGACGACGCCCTGTCCGACGAGCTCCTGTTCCCTGCTGAGGAGAAGCTGCCGTACCTGGACGAGTACTGGTCGGACAGTGAGCACATCTTCCTGGACGCCAGCGTGGGCGGGGTAGCCATCGCGCCCACGCATGGCTCAGTGCTGATCGAGTGCGCTCGCCGTGAGCTCCACGCCACCACCCCTGTTGCCAACCCCAACCGCAACCACCCCACGCGCCTCTCCCTCGTCTTCTACCAGCACAAAAACCTGAATAAGCCCCAACACGGTTTCGAACTCAACAAGATAAAGTTTGAGGCTAAAGAAGCCAAGAATAAGAAAACAAAGGCCTCAGAGCAGAAAGAGCAGGCAGCTGATGAGGGCACTGCCTTGTTCCTTGAAGTAAACGAATTGAACCAAATCCCTTCTCACAAAGCATTAACGTTAACCCACGACAACATTGTCACTGTGTCCCCTTACGCTCTCACACACGTCGCAGGGCCCTATAACCACTGGGTCTGAAGGCTTCTGTCCCCTTCTCAATGCCTTTGCTAGTGCAGTGTATTTTTTCAAGGTGCTGTTAAAAGAAAGTCATGTTGTCGTTTACTAAATCTTCATCTCACCCATTTCAAGTCCGAGGTAAAAAAAAAATTTCTTTTTAAAGGGGTGGGTACTTAACTGTGACTATATTTTGACAATTGGTAGAAGGTGCACATTTTAAGCAAAAATAAAAGTTTTATAGTTTTAAATATATAAAGAAATGTTTTGGTTAGGTGTTAACCTTGATAGAATCACTCAGTTTGGTGCTTTAAATTAAGTCTGTTTACTATGAAACAAAAGTCATTTTTAGAGGAATTTAACAGGTTCATGCTGTAAGATGTAAAATCAAGACACACAGCGTTAACTCTACACAGCTCCTGGTGCTTAACCACATCGACACAGTTAAAAATAAGCTGAATTATTTCATGGTGCCATTTTTTCCAACATCTTCCAATCATTGCTAGAAAATTGGCATATTCCTTTGAACCTTTGAAATAAACCAATGAAATGCTTTCTCTCTTAAAATACTTCCTCCTGTTGAAATCATTTTTGTTAGTAATGGTTGGAGGCTGTTCATAAAGTGTAAATATATATTTTAAAAGCACTTTCTATTTTTAAAAGTAACTTGAAATAGTATAGTATAAGAATCCTATTGTCTATTGTTTGTGCATATTTGCATACAAGAGAAATCATTTATTCTTGCTGTGTAGAGTTCCATCTTGTTAACTGCAATATGTAGTCGAATCATGTATGTGGTTTATGTTCTTTTAATATGTCCTTTCACATTACATATTAGCTACTTATATAAAATAGTTTATCTCTAAAATTGGAATTAGGACATATCAACACTGATTTTTTTTTTTTTAAACTAAGAGTGTGGTCAACAATAGTCTCAATTTTCTTTTATCCCAGCTTTATGAATATAACCCATCAACAATGTTTCCAAAAGGAAATGGGGGGCCGGGGATTTAGCTCAGTGGTTTTGCCGCCTGCCTCGCAAGCGCAAGGACCCGAGTTCGATCCCCGATCCCCGGTACCAAAAAAAAGGATATGGGATTCAGAGGAGTCAAATGCTTCTGATGTTTCAAGGTGATAAAATGCAAAAATTAGTAGCCAGAACTCTTCCCCATCCGAAACTGCCTTGATTGTTCTGTAGTCCAATTTAAGGAAGAATAAGTGAAAAAGGAATCCTGTAGAAATCTTTTGAAAACAAGTTCTCCATTATTGTCACATCTCCCCATCTCTCAGTCAAATAGTAAGAAATGGTACTATAAACATTAATTAGTTCTCGTCCATTTAGAACTAATCCATTCATTAACCTTAGTATACTGGATTTGGAGAAATAGTAATTCCTCTTCTCTTTAAAAATTGTCTATGGTGTAGCTAACAAGAAAAACAGTCCTTCCATATATTTTAGGGTTCCCCTTTTTATCCCCATTATTTTGTTGAGTTAATGTTTATAGCAACACAAAAAGGTTTACCCAAATAAAATGTTAGGAACAAGAACCTTCAATCAAATACTTGATTCTGTTAAAATGCAGAGGTGCTATAGCATTCAAAGTGTTAGATTCTTCGGGAGTATAGAAACCTCAATGGTGCTTCTCCCCTGGATGCCATAGGAAACCACACCTGCTAACACTCATCATTGTGGTGCAAATGCAAGGCTAAAGAAAAACTCATTATTATAACTTATAATATATATGGTGCAAATATCAGTTTAAAGCTTTTGACTTATCCAAGTAAAGGAATATGAAGGGATTGTAAATATATGTCCATTGATAGACCA